CAAATTGATTCACCATCGAAACTTTTAAGACAAGTGATACTAAACATCGAAACCTCAGAAGAATAAAAATAAAGCATTGGATTACGTTAACACTGTATAAACATATAAACTAACACTGAAATTAACTAACGTGAAACAACATGAATTACTTGAATACAACTAAGCAAATACTGATGGACACAAACAGACATAAATAGGTACTCACATAGATATATCACATTGGTGGCGACAGGAACAACACAAATAAATTAAGTATAAGTAACAGGTGACGAGTGACACTCAAAGGATGTGGTCTGTATGACAAGAGGACTGAACTAACTCCGTCAGTTGGTGGGTCCTATATATAAGGTCGGCTCCCGCCACGCGACCCGCCGGTGGGTCGTTTAACGATGCAGATGGTCGTTAGAGAACAAAGAATACTTGTTACAATACTAAATAAAGAAATAAGATGGGCTTGAACAAATAATAACAGTTAAAACCTTAACAGCACAGGGTAAGGTGACTACAATATATAATAGTAAATTTAACACATCATTACAGGAATAATATGGAACAACATGGGAGCATGTTATATATAAAAAAACAAATAGAAAAATACGACACGGTCGTAACAGTGTGTGTGTGTGTGTGTGTGTGTGTGTGTTCTCTTTCTCGTATTCTTTTTCATTTTCTCTTTCGTTCTCCCCCTCTCTTATTATTTCTTTCATTCTCTCTCTCTCGTTGTCTTTTTCTTTATTTTTATTTCTCGCTCTTTGTACTACATGTATTCGTGTGTGTGGAGGGGGTGGTGGGGGTAGAGAAAGAGAGATAGAATAGGGGAGAGAGAAAGGAAAGAGGAGTCAGAAGAGAGAGAGAGAGGTGTGGGGGTGGTTAGGAGGTTTCAGCGGTGAGTGATCATAAAGTTACTTATTTAATGATACCACACTCATCTCTCCACCTCACCCTCCTCCCCCCCACCTCTCACCTCTCCTTCCTACTCACCTCTCACTCTCTTTCCTTTCACCTATCCTCCCCCCTCACCTCTGCTCCCACCTCTTTTCCTTCCTGCTCACTTCTCCTTCCCCTAACCTCTCCCTCCCCTCACCTTTACTCCTACCTCCATTCCCCCCCTCTCTCTCCTCCCATCCCCTCCCCTTCCTAACATCTTCCCTCTCACCTCACCCCTTTCTCCTCACCTCCTCTCCTCACTCTTCCTCTCCTCACACTACTTCCCTCACCTGGTAATGTTAATGAGAGAAGTTAGGTTAGGTTAGGTTAGGTTTTATCAAGGGAGATCAGATTAAGTAGTGCTTAAGCTGGATTTGGTTAAGATAAAATAGCGCCCATTCCAGTGGCCATCAACAAGCCCTTAACGAGATGCTAAACGAGTCCCTTCCAGTAGCCAGCAACAAGCCCTTAACGAGATGCTAAACGAGTCCCTTCCAGTAGCCAGCAACATGCCCTTAACGAGATGCTAAACGAGTTCCTTCTAGTAACCAGCAACAAGCCCTTAACGAGATGCTAAACGAGTCCCTTCCAGTAGCCAGCAACAAGGTCTTAAATTTAACAAAGGTGACGTGAGCTGCTGGCCACCGGCACCAAACAGGGATCCCCGTCTGGTAAGCAGATTTACCACAACAAACCATCAACAAGGGCTCAGAGTAAGCAAACCATTAAAACAATTGCTTAAACAACGCGCCATCTGGGTAAACAAGACGGGTTTGTAAACAATGTGACGTCATCCTCTCCTCACCGCAGACAACACAATCTGGCCAATAGACTGGTAACCAATGTTGTACCTGTGTGTACCTGTGCTCTGTATTTGTTCGTTATTCTTGTACTTTATACTGTACCTGTACTTTATTCTTGTATCTGTACTTATTATTATACCTGAACCTTATATTTAACTTCACTTTCTACTTAAATCAGCACCTGTACTTGTAACTGCTTTCTCCTTAAACTTGTATTCAAACCTCTATTACTACATACGTTCCTGAATCTGTATAATCTTACCTATACTTTATACCTTAATCATACATACCTGTATATGGAAGCTACATCAACACCTGTACTTGAAATCTAGCTGTACGTAAATCACAAACACCCCTGTGCTTAATACCCTTAATCAATGATCTATACTGATTACCCTTTCAATATTTTAACCTTTTCTCTTCTTTACTTTAAAAAAAAATCACTAACAATGTCAGTTTTTATAAACAGTAAGATGAAGGCCGTCTGGAGGTTGGGGAGGGAAGGGGAGAGAGGAGAAGATAGGAGAGGAGACGAGAGGGGGTAGAGTGGGAGAGGGATGGAGGGAGGGGGGGTTTTACAGGTTCGCGTCCCGCCCAGATAAACACGGGAGGCCAGTGATGAGTTGCCGTGGGGCGAGATACAGTAGGTAGGAAGCCTCCCCCCCCCCCCTCTTGTACCTCACTCGACTACGTGCGTCTTGTCGCGTTGTCGTCATTATGAGTAGCCGTTGTTAATTAGACAAGCCGAAACCGCTAATGATGACGACGATGCTGCTCTTGTGTTTTGTTCGACCAGATGATGATGATGTTTGTGTTTTGTTTGTGGATTGTAGGTTATGGTGCGTGTTTTCGTTTGTGGGTGAGCGAGGGTGTCTTCGTTTGTGGTGTGTGTGTGTGTGTGTGTGTGTGTATGCGTATGCGTGCGTGCGTATGCGTGCGTGCGTATGCGTGCGTGCTCCTTTTCAAGAGGGTTGGCTAACTGTAGACCATCATGTGCTACAGTGACACCCACACGACGCAGAGCACAATCAAGGGTTGGGTTATGTAGGGTTCACACTTTCTCTTGCGAGACCTTTCCTCCTCTACTACTTTCTCCTCACTTTTTCTCCCTACCTTTCTCTTGCTTCCTTTCTCCTCACACTTTCTCTCCCATCTTTTCCTCCCTAACTTCCCCCCCCTTTCTTTCTCCTCACTTTCTCTCCCTACTTTTCCCTCTCTGCTTTTTCCTCATTTTCTCTCCCTACCTTTCCTTCCCTGCTCTCCTCTCCTTTCCTTTTTACACGAGAGACAGATGGAAGGGGAAGAGAGGAGTTTAGATGGATAGAGGGATGTGGAGGGAAGGAGAGGAAGGGAGTGAGGGAACGATGCGGAGGGAAGGAAGGAGGGAAGGAAAGGGGGGTAGGGTGTGGAGGGAGTGAGGGAACGATGCGGAGGGAAGGAAGGAGGGATGTGGAGGGAAGGAAAGGGAGAGAGGGAAGGAGGGAGGGAGGGAGGGAGGGAACGAAGGAGGGAGGGAGGGTCAAGTGTCGGCGCCATCCTCACCAGCACCACCATCATTATTAAACATTTTTGTCGGAGGTGCTGGCGTAGCGGGCCCAGCCAACACCCGGGTCGTGTTGTGGTTCTTGCGCGTAGATACCACCCAGCCCACTCATCCCACCCCATTTATCCCACCCCAGCCTACTTATCCACTCCACCATCCCAACCCAACCACACATCCCACCCCATTTATCCAACCCCAGCCTACTTATCCACCCCAACCAACCAACCCCTGACCACCCCCCTGTGTATCATCCCAAGACTAATACTTCGCTGTGCTTTTGTTTTGCTATTTCATTCCCGTTTTGCTGCTGTTAGCGTTGCTGTAATGTTTTGCTGTCTTGGTGAAACTGTGCAAATTTTCTCCTTGTGTACTCTTTTGTTTTGCTGTTTTTTTTTTGTTATATTGGTACTGCTGTGATTTTGTTTGATTATGTGTTTGTGTGTTAGTCTTGGTGTTGCTATACATTGGCCGGCCACCGTGCGTTCATATTAGGCAAATGTAAACATATTCTGGTTTCGATGAAAATGTGGGTTAATATCCACTGCTCCACCGCCACCTGGAACAACATATTTGCTTACACTGTTTTTTTTTATTATTATTTTCGTGGCTTTTCGGTAAGATTTTTTTTTAGGGTAGGGGGTGATGCGGAAAGGTCATCGAACGTGCTGGGAGGCGAAGCTTGGGTGGTTCCTTGTATAAAGCGGAAAGTGGGAGGCGGTATGTTGTTGCCGCGTTGGTGACGGATTAGAGACATGAGTGAGATTGCCAGTCCTCTTGTCAAGTTGTACATATCGCTCTCGTACACACACACACACACACACATACACAGGCCTCCACTAACATCTGGTTGTTTACGCTAGCAGTCGATCATCATGGCATTTAATAATACACACCTATAAGACGCAAGCAAGCAGAGGCCGGGACAAGAGTGTGGTATACGAACACCTGGTGATGCGCTATTTTCAACCAGACGTGGCTGAGTGTGTGTGTGTGTGTGTGTGTGTGTGTGTGTGTGTGTGTGTGTGTGGTCAGTCAGTTTATCCGTAAAGGAAGGGAAGAGAGGATGTGAACATGAGGAGAGAGTTGAGGATGGGGGTGTGGGAGACGGGGGGGGGGATGTTATATGTCATCGTTTTTGTAGCCTCTATTAAAAGATGTTGCTGCTATCGATGTGGTTTTTTAAATTAATTTCAGGTCGATGGACTCACTTTATTCATGTGAGCAAGACACTTTAAAACGGACTATGAATCTTTTTTTTTTCATTATCAATTGAAAAAGTAAACAGGAAAATGATCAGGGAGGGGTGGGGAGTCATACTTCCTTCCTCTGTATTCCTTGGTGTGGCTAGACCAAAAAATACATGTCGCTTTTATTGGTTACCTCTTTTCAACTTTTTTTATTTGAACTTTTATTTTTATTTTCATGTGTTACCTCAGTAATTTTTATATTACCTATGTTCTTGTTTTTATTACGCTTATTCATGTGTGATAAATTTTAAAAGAATTATATGGCCAAGTTGGATTAAATGAAAGGTTAGGGTTCAATATTGGCATTAGTGTTGAGGTGTCGCCAGGGACCGTGTACAGCGGCAACAGCCTACGCACATCAACACCCACATTTTAATATACAACTCCTCGCTCCCTCGCAAAACACCTTCATATATCAAAATAACAGCTACGTTTTTAATGACGTCTATTGTCCTTATTGATTATTGTCTTTTATTGCAGCTAGCAAATGTAGAAACGGTTCCTGCCGGTCAAGCTCCCCCAATGACACGCGTAAGTAGTCTATCCAATCTGTAATTTTTTGAAAGACCGGGAGTTACAGTATATGATGATACTTCCTCTCCTTTACCTTGCTTGACTTATCGTATCATTGCCGACACTTTTGAAAATGTCCTCTTATATTGTTCTGTGTTCATAATTATGAAAACAACAGTGTGTTCAACAGGATAGTGACTAGTTATAACCGTGACTGTTCAGTTCAAGTGTTCATTTATAGTAGCGTCCACCGTTCAGTATTGTTCTCGGGTATACACGACTGTTTGGCTTCTAAATTAGAATGATGTGAAAAGAACAGTTAGTTGTCTCGATAAAAATTTCCTAGTTAATATCTCAAAGCCATGGGAATTACGTCAACAACAACAACAATATTAATATTAATAATAATAGCGATGATGATGATAAAAAAAAAGAAGCAAAGAAGTATAAGAAAGAAAAAGGAAGCAGAAATAAGAAGTGGAAAATAAAAGGAGCAGCAAGAGGAAGAAGAAAATAATAAGACGAGGAGGAAACAGCACAAGAAGAGGAAACCTTTTGATCTATGTGTCAGCTAATCACACGTCTATCATTATCTTCTTTCATTCTCTGCCATCGCCCTCCCTCCTTCATTTTCTTCACGCCATGACTGAGAACCGCCTCACAATAGACGCCAAACCCTAGCAGCTACCATCCACAATGAAGGGTGATAATTCAAGTTGTAAGCTGTAAAAATTCTGTCTTTCATATTCTCACGTGTGTGTGTGTGTGTGTGTGTGTGTGTGTCAGATTTATATTGCTTGGACATTTTTATTATTGCGAGAGATAGTCATATTTAGTGTGTTGATATTAATGTTAAAATATGTAGTTGTTAACTTCAATATTTTACAGGTGTTTATTTTAGGTTTTTAATATTTTTTAAAGCTGCATCGCTAGCTAAGGCGAAAACTGTACGTGTCTAACTTCGTCATGAATTTACAGGACCCAAGCCTTCATGTAATCGGGACCGGCAAAGCATACTAGAGGCCGAGAGTGCAGGCAACAACAGCATCCCTATCCCTGTGTGTCAGCCCAATGGGAAATACGAGCGTGTTCAGTGCTATAGAGGTAATGTTTTTTTTGTTTGTTTGTTTGAGCATATACATGGTTGATTGCAAGACCTGGGGCCAAGTAATTTTTAACATAACCAAGGTTGATTGTATTCTTCGTTGTTAATTTCTGCTGCTTGGGGAAAGGGGTGTTATGCCACTGTATTTATTGTTCTAACATATGTATTTATTTCATTCAATTTATTAATTATCATTTACTTCTTGTTTGCTGTTTTATCTTTACAATGAGTTTGTCAGTATCGGTAGTAATTACAGTAGGAAAAAGTCCGACGATAGTGATTACAGTAGGAAAAAGTCCGAACATAAAACTGTTATTTGAAAAATGTTTGTGTTCTCAGACCTGAAGAATATACACCCTAGCTAATTTCACATGAAGATTAACCAACCACCCTAATGTTAACCTAACCTAATCTAAACTAACCCCTCTCAGATAGCATTATAATGGCTATTTTTAGGTGAAGTAATCAGGGGTGTCTAATCTTTAGGTGAAATAATCAGGGGTGTCTAATATTCTGGTGAATTAATCCAGGATGTCTAATCTTAAGGTGAAATTAGCTGAGATGTCTAATATTCAGGCGATTCTCATATCTTAAATTTCCTTCCAGATATCTGTTTATGTGTTGATGAATGGACAGGGAACAGTCTGGATGGTACTGGGGTGACGAATGGTACTCCTGACTGCTCGCGACCAATGCCACATGCACGCGAATGGCCAGGTTAGATTCTGTTGTTTTGTACAATTAACACAATACTGTATACGTAATTGAAGGAAAAATACGGTATAGGTACTTATATATTCGTTCATAATAGTTTTCTTTGCATTGTATTCAACATAAAGTGGAAATGTTCTGTTTCGATAATAATTCCAGATTGTTTAAAAGAAATTTGCTTTCAAAGTTCAATTGGACAGTGAAGCATGACGTAATAATTTACATATCAATGGTAACTCTTATACAGAAAGAGGGCAATTTCTGTAAAGTCACGGTAAAGTAGTACAATATTGCTCTTAAGGCCACCAACATTCCCATATCTTTAATATTACTCTTAGGATAGATTAAAAAATGTATTATATTATATTTATAAAAAAAACTATTGTATCTATAAATACCATTGGTAATAATAACTTCTCAAATAAAGTATAAAAATATGATCTGTGTTGTAAGAGCCTATGTTAGAAAGACTCTCTCTCTTCGTCTTATTCTTTTGTGTAATTGTTATTGTATTTGCTCTTGTTCTTTTCAGGTTGTACAGGAGAAACCAAGACCAAGTTTATTCTGGACCTGAAGAAATTCCTCTTTAATAAGGTGGAAGGTGGAGACAGGTGAGGTGATGGTGTAGGACGTGTGGCTCTTTTGTGGGAGGTGTGGCTCTATTATGGGAGGTGTGGCACTGGGTATGTGGGAGGTGTGGCTCTATTGTGGGAGGTGTGGCTCTATTGTGGGAGGTGTGGTTCTATTGTGGGAGGTGTGGCTCTGTTGTGGGAGGTGTGGCTCTGGGAATATGGGAAGTGTGGCTCTGTGGATGTAGGAACTGTGGCTCTATTGTGGGAGGTGTAGCTCTATTGTGAGAAGTGTGGTTCTATTGTGGGAGGTGGGAGAGATGTGGCTCTGTTGTGGACGGTGTGGCGCTGGGGATGTGGGAGATATGGCCTTGTGGATGTGGGAGATGTTACCCTTTTGTGGGAGGTGTGACTCAATTGTGGGAAGCGTGACGTTTGGGAATGTGGGAGGTGTGGCTCTGGGGATGAGGTGTGTGTGTGTTGTTCCAGGGATGTGGGGAGGTATGGCTTTATTGTGGGAAGTGTGACAGTAATTTTTTGACTGCATTTAATTAACTACTTTGTGTAAGTTTCATAATCAATGGACGTTAAAATCCAAATCTAAATATGTTCAACATATTTTTTTTCTTCTTCTAATCTGAAGACAATGTATGATTTTACCCCAAAAGTATCAAGGGTAGAGCTTAGATTTTAGGATTTTTCTTCAGTTTTCTTCAGACCTTCATCATAAGAAGCAGTCACTTTTATTTCTACAGTAAAACCCCTCTAAGTCGGCCTTCTATGAGTCGGAAACCCCCATAAGTTGGACCAGCTCTGACTTAGGGTGGATTCTGTGGGGTGGCAGTTGGGAGAGAAGTCCGCTCCCAGTGTTTGTTGTTGTGACCACTGTTCCTCTGTGCATTTTTGGGGGTATTTAGTGCTTCCCTGGTGTATTAATATGTTCTCTAAAGCAAGTAAAGGTATAATAACAGCAATGAGAATCAACGGAGGAGAAAGAATGGTTCTCAGAACTTTACCAATTGAAAAGACACTGAAGATATGAGACAAAATTGATGCTGGGGTGTCCATGAATGTTATATGGCAGGAGTTTGGACTGAAGTGGAATACTTTTTACGACATCAGACAGACTTAACCTATGGCCTTCGGGTCACGTCCTGTGACGTTTGTCTGTAGAGCTTTGGGTCACATCACTTGACGTTTTGATCTTTTGCGGGCCTACGAGTATTTGAATAAAAAGGGCGGGCCTGGCTAGATTATGTTGCCAAGTAGGTATTTATCTTTCATTCACTCACACATGAGAGCCTCCCAGTTTCTTCTCAGTAGATTCCCAGGTTTTGTGATGTAAGCATCTCGCCTTTGGTCTTACTTTTTACTTTTACTTTTATCCTCTTTGCTAATGATCGGCTTGTTAGCCACTTGGGCGGTCGGTCACATCTCTGTTATGCACTGTTGGCAAGTACTGGGCATGCACTGGCTCCTGAATATATCAAAACCTGCTCCAGTGTTGGTCAAGTCTGGCCTTGAATGAGCTCACACTCGGTGCTGTCACAAAACTCTCTGGCAGATTGTTCCAAGAGTTCACAATTGTCACTTCGAAAAGGTTTGCCCTTACAGTTTTCTGGACTTGTGGCTTCTTCAGCCTTGAGCTATGACCCATTGTGGGACAGACGTCCGCCAGCTCCAGTTATGTACATTCGACCAAGTAGTGTCCCTTGAGATGTTTATACACTTCGATTAGGTCATCCCTCGTCCGTCTGTAGTATAGGCTAGGTAGTTGCAGGTGTTCTAATCTCTCTGGGTAACTGAGATGACTCACTTCACATGTGTTTCTATCCCCCCCAAGCACAAGTCTAGTAATGTGATCAATTACTGGAGCAATAATAATGATTGTTAATAGTGTAAATAGTAATACCATAGTAAAACAAGTGTCCTGTACTTCATACTGCCTACAAATTATTGTTGTTTGCTTCATACTATTGTGTCATACATATGCCACTTCACGAACATTCTCGACTCTTCCTAGCCCCAGTGTTGCCAACCTGTATATTTATTTCCTGTTTATATCATGCATGGCCAGTTTGTAAACTAGAATTGCTTTTTATTTGTTTTTTAAATGTTCCCAAATACGTATACCCATGTCGGGGGTACTGACCATAGCCCGAAGCCGAGGGGTTAAGTGCCTACTAAATATAAGTAACTAAATGTAAGTGTGAATACAGATATTGTAAGCCTAAGCAGTTCCTCATTTTCCTCCACCTCAAGATTCATTTGCTTTAATAACTTTTACTTTTATCTTCTTTGCTACTGATCGGCTTGTTAGCCGCTTGGGCGGTCGGCCACGTCTTTGTTACACACTGTTGGCAAGTACTGGGCATGCGCTGGCTCCTGAATGTATCTGAACCTACTCCAGTGTTGGTCAAGTCTGGTCTTGAAAGAGCTCACACTCGGTGCCGTCACAACACTCTCTGGCAGGTTGTTCCAAGAGTTCACAATTCTCACTTTGTGAAAGTTTGCCCTCACAGTTTTCTGGACTTGCAGCTTCTTCAACCTTGAGCTGTGACCTCTTGTGGGGCGGGCACCTGCCAGCTTCAGGAATGGACACTCGACTGAGTAGTACCCTTTAAGATGTTTATACACTTCAATTAGGTTACACCTTGCCCGTTTGTAGCATAAGTTAGGCAGTTGTAGGCACTCTAATCTCTTTGGATAACTGAGGTGTCGGAGTGCAGGCACCATTCTGGTGGCCCTCCTTTGGACATTTTCAATCAACTGACAGTCCCTAGCATATCGCAGGGACCAGACGGGGTGACAGTACTCGAGGCAGGGAAGCACCTCACTTTTGAAGATAGTTACTGGGGATGGACTGTTTAGGTATCTGAACGAAGTTCCTACAAGTTGCTTGATTCACCTTCTTCTCACAATGGCCCGAGAACTTCAGTTCATTGTCAACATACACATCCAGGTCCTTTTTGCATCCGGTCTCTATTAATGCAGTTTATTTGTCCTATTGGGACATATGATATGCCTCCTTATAATTGGTACGACCCAGGTGCATTCACTTACACTCCGTGACATTGAATCTTAGCAGCCATTTCTTCGACCACTCTTGAAGCTCACTGAGATCTTTCTGCAGCTTTTCACAGTCTGTTTGGTTTTTAATTTCCCTAAATAACTTTTCATCGTCTGCAAACATTTGTATGGAGGAGTATATTGCTTCCGGCATGTCATTTATGAAACAAACAACAACAGGCCCAATACACTGCCTTGTGGTACCCCGCTTGTCATGGGTACACATGGCAATTTCGTACCACTAATCACCACACAATGCGATCATGCAGAAAGTCTCCGATCCATGCTAGAACACTTCCCCAAATCCCATACCCTTACAGTTTAATTCTTAGCCTTTCATGGGGTATGCTGTCGAAAGCCTTGGCAAAATCTAGGTATATACAGTACTGTATTATCGATATTGCCACCCTGTTCCAGAATTTGGGTCCAAACAACCAGTAGCTTGAGTAAATGTGTTAAGCAGAAGCGTCCTAGCGTAAAACCGCGTTGGCAGTCCTTCACAAGTTTGTTTCATGGCATCTCTTATAATGCTTTCTAGTACTTTACACACTATGCTGGTCAGGCTCTCTGGTCTATAATTATTCGCCTTTCTTGCATATAGGATTCACATAAGCCATTTTCCAGCGACTGGGGGCCTTTTGTTCATCCAAGCATTTACAGAACAGGATCTTCAGGGGCTCAGCAAGCTCATTGCACAACTCTCTTTGCACTCTGGGGTGCATCATGTCTGGGCCCGGACTCTTATGAACCTCTAGCTTTGAAAATTTATTTCTTATACCCATTTCTGGGAGCACAAAGTGAGTCAGCACTGTGTCAAACCATCTGTCTTCAAACACAGAAAGATTGTTCGCATCTTCTCTTGTGAACGCTGAGGTAAAGAATCTGTTCAACGCCTCCGCTTTGTCCTGGTCAGAGTCTCCTAACTACCATCTTCAAGCCTCAGGTCCGATACACCTACTCACATTTTTTATTTTGACTGCGTAGTGGTAAAATGCCTTTGGGTTTGACTTGACCTCGCTCATACTCTGCCTTTGGAACTCTTTTTCAGCCGCCCTACTTTGACATTGCTTGGTTCCTGTATCTGGCATACATCCTCCTGCCCTGATCATCATTTTTCCGAACCCACATCTCGAATTTCTGAGTTTTCTTCTTAACTTTGACGACCGCACTGGGTTTGGTCCTGGGTATATATTTATCGATCAGCTGGTTCACTTTACTGGCTATGATATTCAGCGTAGCGTCTGTAAGTTGCTTGAGAAAGGTTCGTAAATGAGCCGCATCCGTCTATAAAGAACTCGCATTACTCTGGGTCGACTCTCCTCTTCTTGTACTGTACAACAATTCTACATCTATATCGGGATGATGTACTTTGAGTAGGGTTTCAAACTCCACTCTCTCATCAAGGAACATGTCATTATTAAAGTGGTACATGACTTTCAAGCCTAAATTTGTTCTGGGTAACGTCTCTGATTTTCATAGTGACTCCGGCCTCCCCCCCCCCCTTCTCAGCAGCTGTCTCGTTTACTAAATACATTGTATTTTGTTGGGTGTGGTCAGAGATGACATGGTTTCTGTAATGACGCACTTGCCCCCACTGCCTTCCCTTTGTATATAACCCATGCACGTCCGTCCCCATTCCTCATCGAATCCTCTCTCTTCTGCTTCAAGAACCAAAGGAATTTCTTTGCTGTTCCTTCTGCATTACTGTGTGATATGGGTAGCTTTAATATTGTTTTTGGAAGGGATTTTTCAGCAAAATGGTGGTTGAAAGCATCTGGGTGGGAGGTTATGCATAAGTCGGAATTCTAGATAAGTTGGACAGCCTTGAGTCCCATATGATCTGACTTGGGGAGGTCTTACTTATCATTGATTTATAGATATTTTTATTTTATACTGTATGCAGGATATTTGACATATGTTTTTAATGACAGGAGTACAGGAGCAGATTCAACTACACAGTCAGTGGAGGAGTTTGCTGCTACTTATCACTTCCGAAATCTTGACAGAAATAATAACCAATTTCTGGAGAAGAAGGAGAAAAGATTGGCCAAGAGGTTTTTGAAAAGGTGAGAACCACTGCATCATTGACCCCCATTGGTTTGAGTTTCCTGTATTATTATTCAGAGATCATTCCTTACTTTTTTCAGGAAATTTTCAGTGTTCTTCATGTATCTAAGTTGTTAGTGATTCAGTATTTGCATTGGACACCAATTTGTTCTGTATCCCACAACTTAATTATTTGGGGGGATGTGGTAACCACATTGAAGTTGTGTCTATGGGTATTTTTTTAAAAAATCTTCTCTAACTTCTCATGGTACTATGCAGGGACTGTGGGAGAGGTATTTTTTACTCCCAGGCAGAGTGAATCACAAATTTTGGGAAACTTATGTGTAATTCCAAGCCCTTTGGGGAGAACTACCATCACTATGTATAGAAACAAAAGCAAACAAAAGCGAACTACTACAGTACCAGTATGGGTTTATCATTTGTGACAACTTTCTCAGATGGAAGATCAGTGTCTTTATACTGTATATTTATGATTTGATTAGATTTGGTGTGTGAAGCTAATCCAATGTCCGTGGACTGATACAACTCATTTTTTAAAAATAATTGTACTGTAATCTTGTTTCTTTTCCAGTAATCCTAAGTTAAAGAAGTGTGGACGAAAAATCACTAACTATTGTGATGTGGACCGAGACAATAAGGTGTCACTGGAGGAATGGATTGCTTGTGTCGTGGTGGTGCAGAATGAAACTGGTTAGTATATTCGTGTTTGTCTTTATTGATTATATTTTAGCTTGTGCCTCAGCGCTTTTATGGTTCTTAGATTTATAAACCTGATTTTTATTTATTATACATTAGTTTTTAGCATATATATTTACTCATATAAAGTTTTTGGTCAGGATATTATGATGTGCTAATAATTAGAATAAAACAAGAGAAAGCAATTACAGTAAAACCCCGCTTTACGCGGTTTCACTTTACGCGTTTCCACGTTTACGCGGTACCCTGCCAAACACTGAATGCTCACTTTACGTGGTGTGTGTACCCTTTTACGCGGACAGCGGCTGGCGGTCCTCTTGCGCCGCGCCATTTTTGGATTCAAACCTCCCGCCATCTCTCCCGCCATCCCGCCATGTTGGGTAAGCGGCGCGAGTAGGTTGCGCAGCGTATGTCTTTGTTGCATTATCGGTGACGTCATATGACGTATCGGACTGTGATTGGGCCAAGCATCCTTACCTCCCTCCCCCGCTAGCTGTAATTGGTTTAATGTACTATGACGTGCCCCGCCGCGGGAGCATTCAAGCTCCTTGACCTACCCGCGTCAGTTACACCCCTCCCGGCTACACCGTGTATATCGGTATCCATTGTTCCATAAGAATGGCTTCCACCGGATCACCACCACCACCACAAAGAAACCTTGCATTACCTGGACCCAGCCGCCCTAAGCCAAAGAAGATACGACGTTCCTTAAGCTACTAAATTAAATACAAGATCATCCAAGAGTTGGAGAAAGGAACAAGACAGGTTGATCTCGAGCGCCAGCATGGTGTTAACGAGTCTACGATCAGGACAATTAAGAAGGATGCAGCCAAGATAAAGGAGCACATGAACATCACAAAGTCTACAGGTGCTTCTATGATCAAGTATTGCCACGACCAGGTGCTTCTCAAGACGAAGAAATTACTTGTGAGCTACTTGATTTGTCAGGCGCGACGGAACATGGCGGTGGACACGCGCTCAGTTAAGGAGTACGCACGTAAACTGTATGCTGCAGTGTCACGTAAGATGGGAATTGCAGAGCCCAAACCCTTTAATGCTTCCTCTGGGTGGTTGCAGAGATTTAAGAAGAGGAACAAGATCACCAACATCAACATTGGTGGTGAAGAAGCTATTGCTGACCGTGTTGCGGCTAGGGAATTTCCTCCGTTTTTACGTGAGATTATGGAGGAAGGACAGTACACCGACGGCCAGGTGTTTAACATGGACGAATCTGGTCTTTTTTGGAAAAAGCTATCTTCAAGACCTTCGTTGTGAAGAATGCCAGCAAGTGTCGGGGCCGGAAGTTGCAGAGAGAGCGCATCACCGTCCTGTTTACCACCAATGCCTCCGGTACCTGTAAGCTCAAGTTATCAGTGATCCACACAGCACGCAAGCCGCACGCCTCCAAGAGCATGGACATGACCAAGCTAAATGTCCACTGGCTGACCGCACGTAAGGTGTGGATGTTCTCTACTCTGTCCCTCTCCTGGTTTGATGACTGTTTCGTTCCTGACGTGAAGAAATTCTGTGAGCAACACAATGTTCCATTCAAGATTTTGTTGCTGCTTGACAACGCACCAGGACACTCGCCCCTACTGTTAGATCGTCACCCCAACGTAAAAGTGGTCTTCCTTCTTCCCAACACTACGTCATTAATACAGCCCATGGACCAAGAATTGATCTGTAATGTGAAAGCTGCATTCTCTGCAAAGAAATTTAAGCTCCTGAACGACTACACCAACACCAAGGATGAGTTGCGTAACCTGGGTGACACCGATAGCAAGAGCGAAGACGACGAGGAACAACAGTTTGCAGAGCAAGAAGTACTTGTGAAACAATTTTGGAGAAAATTCAACGTCAAGAAAGCTGTGGACTTCTTGGTGGAGGCATGGGATCAGCTGTCTGTAGCAACTGTTCGCCACGCATGGAGACATGTGTTGCAAGGTATTCCAGGTGGGAGGCAGAGTAATTCTGTGACTGGTGAGGTTCAGACTGTTGCAGTAGCAGTGGACATTGCCAGAGAAGCTGCGCAGATTGTTACAGCTGCAGGCTTCTCCGAGACCACCAACGACGACATCCTGGAGGTGATAGGGGATCCTGATGTGACTGCCGACGAGATGCTAGATGATGATGACGTCAGTGAAGAGGCAGGCGGTGCGTCATCCCAAGAAGAACGCAAGTTATTGCATAGTAATCTAAGGGGTGCCATCGAATGTGTTGAGAAACTCAAGCTCCTCCTTTCCGACGACCCTGACGATAACCGGTATGAACTCTTCACTACCCAGCTGTTGCAGACTATGGAGCCCTACATCAAGGTGTATCACGACATCAACACCAGCCGTCAGCAAAGCATTACCGAGTTCTTCGCCCGCAACCCACCACAGCCAGCCCAAGCCAGTGATAGTGACAGAGACAGAGACAGTGATGATGACTTTGAGGGATTTGTCAGGGAGGCACTAATAAGTGTGGATGACAGTGATGAAGACTCACCTGAGGGCCAGTAGCCTGCCCTCTGCCTCGGAACCAGCCTCCATTCCCGTACGCCGACCCATCTCTTCTACTAACGTAAGTGTTAACCCTAACCTTGTTTTTTTCTAACCCAACCTACAGTATATTATTCTCTTATTGATTGTTCCCTTCTATATTATGTGTGTGTGAATACCATTATAAAGTTAAGATGTTATTTTTACTAAAACGTATGTATTGTGTCGGGAAAAAGTGGAGTTTGGGGTCGGCCCGGTCTCTATTTCAATTAATCCCATATGTTATGTTGTTCACTTTACGCGTTTCTCGCTTTACGGGCCGCCGTGGGTTCAGTTGACCGCGTAAAGTGAGGGTTCACTGTAATGTGTGATTATGAGGAAAGTGGTGATAAACTTGGTACAGTACAGGTGTTGACAAAAAGGGAGGTGATGAACATGTACACCACACTGTACTGGTACTTGCTTCAGCATGACAGTAGAAGTATAGCCGAGTAGATTAGTTAATTTTGCATATTTGTGTTCCTTTGTTGCATCTGTATTATGCTTTGGGTAACTCAGTTCCCTTATTTTTATGATGACAGCCATACATTTCTAGTTTGCATTACTCAATAGATGTTTTTCCTGAATGTGTTTGCTTGTTCTTTTATTTTTCAGTATCTTGCTTTGGGCTTCTCCAATTATTGTGTGACTTTTATACTTTTAAGTTATTGTAGCTGTTTAAGATTTTTTTATAAAAATTAAGAATTTTTGTTTTTGATTTTTGGAACCAGAAAAATTTGGAGAGTTAAATATCAGTGTGATATTATCTTTTGATCTGAGTTTAGGCTGTGTATTTTTTATTTTATTCTATTTTTTTACCTAGGGAGTAGTATCTCACTTAGGAAGGGTTAACACTTATGTCTTAAAAATTGTTAGGGTTTGGTATTTCTTTCGGTTTTATGGACAAAAATAGTTCATGCTTCACAAATGAATGAAAAGACCTTGCGAGTGACCAATGGCCAAAAATATGAAAATTATGATAGACAATTAATTTTACATAATTCAATAACTTTGGCAGTCTTCTCATTCATAAGCTTTCAATGGAGAAATTGCCATCTACTTTTTAGACTGAGTCATCTGTTTATCTACTGTAGTTTCTCGAACATTTTTTCTCCTTAAGTTTTCAGTACAACTCTTTTGTCTGCCATTGAAATATACCTGTACATTTACTGTATTATATAAGCACTGTTAACTTTCACCCTGTATATGACTGGCAATTTCCTGGCCTCACAAAACTTGTGCCTTCTGCTACACCCCTGTATGGCAAGGACCTCCTGCCATGTAATGTCCAATTTTCGTCTCCTACTTTAAAGTTAAATGAGAAGGCTGCTTCAGTCACGATCTAGGAAAATGAAGAGCAACACTATGGATGATATTTTAGTAGTGAAATATATCCATTTATAAAATTTGTGTTTATAAAAGTACTGTACTGTAGCTGTTTGGATTGAAAGTCTGAATAAGGCCAATGTTTCAACTGAGAAGAAAGGACATACAGTACCAGTACGTACTTTTATATTTTTTACTAGGTAAGAAGAATTCAACTAATATCGATTGGAAATAGTTTACTTATAAACCGGGAGCTGGAATAAAAAAAATTTATATACAGGTACACCACCGATTTTCCAGCACCCTTGGTTCCAAAGCCTTGCTGGATTATTCGTTTTGCAGGACCAACCGAGGTCAGGTAATAATAATTCAACAATACATCTCTGATTCACTAATTAAACACATCCTGTGTCTCTAAAGCACCATGGACTACTAGAAACTTAAATTAAATAAATGTTAAATGTAATTTAAATGTGAAAAAGCCATAATTTTGAGCAACATGTTACTGTACAGTATAGTCTCGATTTACGAGGATTTCCTTTGCGCGGTTGGTCATTTACGCGGCACCTGGCCAGAAGCGGCAATTATTAGTTACGCTGTACATTCCATCATTTACGTGGGAAGCGGCGCGGGCAGGGTGCGCGCTAGGTTGCCCAGTCAACAAAACATTACCTAGTTCTTCACCCGCCACCCACCACAGCCAGCCCAAGTCAGTGATAGTGATAGTGAGGATATGGACTTTGAGGGGTTTGACAAGGAGGCCCTGCTAGCCTCTGTGGTGGATAGTGATACAGGTGATACAAGTGATACAGGTGAGGGCTAATAATCTGCCCTCTGCCTCGGAACCAACCCCCATCCCCGTGTGCCCAGCCATCTCTTCTACTAACGTAAGTGTTAAAAAACCTAATATTATTGATACTTCTCTTATATATTAATTGTTTGTGCATACCATCATAAAATTAAGATGTTGATTTTATTACAACGTACGTATTGTGTCGGAAAAAGGGTAATCTGGGGGTCGGCCCAGTCTCTATTTCAATTAATCCCATATGTTCTGTTATTTCGTTTACGCGTTTCTCGTTTTACGCGGACCTTCATGGGTTTAATTGACTGCGTAAACCGAAACTATACTGTACACACTTTGTACTCAAATGTGCTACACTAAAGGACTAAAAGTTTTATCTCTTGTGCAAACTATGTGATGTTTATACTCAAACTAATCACTATCTTACAAGGATTCGAGCATTGCAAGTTATATTCTGCTAAGTTTAGTTTGTTACATTTTATAAGATAAAAACTTTAAGCCTAAAACTACCTTCACCCTGGCTGGGAGGGAGGGGGAGAAGGAAGGAAGTTAAGTGCCCTCGCGTCATTTTGTCCGGCTGAAGTCGGTGCCGGACCATCAATTCCCGGAAAATCGGTGGTGTACTTGCATTACAGAAAGGTTCCATTATATCCATTATGCAGTCATGTGTTCATTTAGTTTCATTCCAAATGAGAATCAACTATATAGTCTGCCTTGAATATAAGTACAGGTATACTGTTTTATATGTGTGTTTAATTATAGAAGTTATGTTGGCAGGTATTGAGGCCTAATATACCCAACCTGTCACATCGCTAGGACTTCATTGTAAGGTCAATCCATTCATGTCCTCAATCCTTCCCACTGTGTATTGGGAAATCCTAACTATAACTTACCTATCCAGCTTGGCTTTCTCTGCTCACCATTGCAGTCTTCACACACTCCTTATTATGTTTGCAAACTTATTGAACTTCCAGTATGTTATACTATAGCAGTTCCTGATGTTCCAACCGTCATATGACTTTAGATCAATAAGTTAAGATCTGGTTCTGTATTCTTAGTGTATACTTCTTAACTGTCGCTCATCTTTAAGCCAGTCGGTAATCTAGCATCTGCACCTCACCGTTTTTCCCCTGGTTGACCCCTTTACAGAATTTCAGTCTTCCCTTTCGGACATTTACCCTCAGGTGACAGCCCTAATGGTGGTGGTCAAGATGATGTAAGAAGAATTGGAGAGAATCCACTCCATAAATATCTTGTACCAGAAGAAGAGGCTGGTCGCTTGAAAAATAGAAAGTGGTAGAATACTTCTTACTCAGTGGTTTACAGAGGTGGATATGACTCACTCGTATTGGCCTGTGCTAAGCAATGAATTAAACAAAACATGATTTGCGCCTGGCACTCACTAGTATTATAGTCATTCATACAAGTGGTCACACACTGTAGTCTTCCCTCGCTAATCCGATGCCAGCTATGTAGTATGTTTTAATTTGATCCTCTTTTGCGCTTATGTCTATGAAAGTCGAAGGAACTTAGTTCATTTCTCTCAATTCATTTGGGGGCAAAATCTTGTCAAGGTAATGTTAAAAAATTCAAGAAAAGGATAGAAAATTTATAAATGATAATGTACTGTGAAGTTGTTTGTGTGTGAATGTGTAAGCATGAACAAACCTGACAATCTCTATTAGTATGCACAGTGACGTGTTATGAATCCACATTTAGAAGTTAGTGATTATTTGTATATTGTGTATGCAAGTTATGGATATGGAGAAATGTGTGTGTGTAGAATATTTTTGCTTACTGTTACTAACTACACTTGTTTTGTGGTACCAGTCCCAATCTCTCCCCGAACCAGAGTGGGAGCCGAGGGAGTAAAAGTACTGTGCAGTATTTGATAGAAAATGTGCTTAACTTGTTTAGATTATATACTATACTAGAAAATGCTTTAGTGGTAAAAATGTGTGTAATTGCAGATGTGTTGGGCTGCTAAAAGTGTTAAAAGTTCTCCATAAAGTGATGCCCAGACATTTGATATCAGTTTGAGAGTTGGAGATGTAAAATGGCAAAGTGTTGGAGAAATTCTGAAGTTGAGAAAGCTGAGAAGGTTAGCTGGAAGACATTGATAGAGGAAAATGTACTGATATGTTGATGTAGGCAAGTAGTCTTTGGTCACCCTATGGGTGTGTATTATGAAAGGCACCCAGCCATAAAACTTTGCTGCAACATACCTGATGGCAACTGAGTCACCAGAGTTGTGCCCACCACCTGGTCTCTGCTACATTTACCCACCAGCTGCTAACAGTGTGGAAAATGGCTGTAAAATGATGATGATGAATGATGATGATGATAACATAAATGGGAATGTCGAAGATGCACAGTACTGGTAATCAGTGGGAGATCAAATTAATGGAATCATCGTCATCAATGTTTTACGGCCATATTCCACACTTGTGTGGTATAGCCACGATTACCTGATGGTACCTGTCGGGTAAAACTAAAATGGGATGTTGCTGTCTCCTCCGATCCCCCACCGCCCCCCCCCCTCCTTCAATCACCACTGGAAAATTAGATCCTGGTACACTGCTTAAGTGCACCAGCCCAGAAAATGCAGCAGAGACCAGGGGATGAGCACAGTCATGGTGATCTAGTTGTTATCAGGAATGTTGAAGCAAAGTTTAGTGGCTGGAAGCACTCTTAATGTTAACCCACATGGTTAATCTATGTACAGTTGCCCTGTGTAGCAGGGCTGTGGGAGAACTTTTGCTGGCAACTGTACCTTGAGTGCTTTTTCCCCTGAGTATTGAGAAGTTTTTTTAGGTGTAAATTAGTTTGCATTAAACAACATTTGAAAATTTATGACCCACTATTGGGAAATATTTAAACAAAGTGTATTGATTTACATTTACAGTACTGTATACTGAATATATACAGTACTGTACAGTACAGTACTGTACAGGTATTGTACAGTATATATATTTTTTATTATAGTCACCACTCACTAACAGTTTTTCAACTGTCAAAAACTTGATCAGGTCTAAACAGTATACTGTATTGGTTTACTGGAGTTGGAGAATATATTGTTATTGAGTGGTAGTTTACCCACTTTGTACATCGGATTAGCGAGGCTCCACAGTATTTGAATGGAAACACAGTAATAAGCAAAATATAAGACATTTTGCTTGACATGCCAGTTTCAAATCTAATATTAAACACCTAAGTTCACTTATTATTATTAAAAGTGAGCTTTCTGAATGCACGTGGTCACCTTTTATTATGTCCATAGCAAAACTGCACTAAACTCCTTATGTAATTTATTTATTTTTAAATACGTATTGACAACAGAGGCCTGACTATTTTAATATTACTATTAATCACTTGTATGAGGTTTAAATTGTTTCAGGGTCATTTAAAGGAATGATGTCTCCTTCAGCATAGTAGAACAGACAATTTTATACAGCTTGACAATGGGAGAGTAATATTTTATTTCTGACAAGTTACTTGGTACAGTATTTAGAATATCAAACTTCATGTATATGTTATCTTGAAAAATTTATAAACTTTGCAGGCCAGTGTTGATATATACAGGTATTATGATGATTGAAGAGCTCTACAGTGCTTCATACTTTTCCTTGCATGCAGCAGCTATTGAAGTGCTTGAGGAATGTGATTTAATGTCCCATAAACTTTTTATTGCAGTGCTTGATGAATGTTATGTGTCCCATAAACCGCTGTTATTACAGGGCTTGAAGAATGTTGTGTAATGATGCCATAAACAGTTGTTCTTGCAGTGCTTGAGGAATGTTGTGTGTCCCATAAACAGCTGTTATTAAAATGCTTGAGGAATGTGATGTAATGATCCCATAAACAGATGTTATTTTTATGGTTGAGGAATATTATATAATGATTTTCTTAAGAAGCAAGTGATGTCAAGTGGGTCATCCTGAAGCACATGGTTCCTGGGTGAATTTTGGGCCATGGATGTTTGGATCATAGGACATGACACCCGGACGTTTGGGTCACTGTTGTTAGGCACTTTCGGGTCATGGCATGTGGTCCAAATGTCTGGGGGTCATGACACAAACATCTGTGGCCCAAGTGTCCCATAGCCCATCGGTCCTACCACTGAATTTTGGAAGGGGCTCTAGTTTATTGCCCCCAGGAAGCACGTGATACTGATTTTTTTCTTTTTCAGTGATTAGTGCATGATTTAGAATTCGGTTTATTCTCCACTCAATTAGCTCTTGACTTTCCAAGTTGTTACAATTGAGACTGTGGCTTGGCAAAACTGTACAGAAGTATGCATGTACTTTACCCTGCTCCTTTGCATCCACCCATAATGAAAAACCTATTGGCATGAACATTTACAAATACGTATACAGTACTGCAGTTATTACACACTAAGATGATTTGCAGGTAGTGTATAGTCTTAATATTCACAAATGAGATGTACAGTTATTCTGATACAAAGTTCTAAGTTTATTGGAATATTAACAAGAAATGAAATTACTCTATTCTTTCATGTGTTTACTTTGTTTTAGTATAAACATACAAAATTTCCACCTTATGTACTTCATGAGTTTATGTACAAGGGGGTATACAGTACTGGATATTTTTCACCTTTTATTTTGCTTATGTAAAGCTGTATTTTTAATCTCGTTTCTTGAAAGAGATACAAGACATACAGGGCTAGATAAACAGATGCACAGGCATACAGTACAGTACAAACTTATGTAGGAAGATCCGTAGTTCATGTGTGCTTCTAAAATTATACATGCTCATCATACGTTTAGATAGTAAGCCATATTACACATCAAGTAGTCTATCAAACCCTCCTCTGTATGCTGAAAGTAATTGGCTAGTACATAAAGTTTATCTCACAGTACTTAGTTCAGTCGCTGACAAGGGTACAGGTTGGGCCATGAAATAATGACACACTTGTACAGTATTTATGCATTGTAATTTACTAAAATTTTACTAAATCGATACATTTCACCCTACTCCCTAATTTGTGGTTCTTTGGAAATTAATCGGACATGGATTACATTTACACTGAGACCAACATTGTGTGTCTCACCGCTTTTAGATAAGTCCTCATTACAATACAGTACTTTTATCACTCTGACAGGAATCCTTATCAATTTAGTTACTCAATTCTCTCCCTGAGTTAAGCAGAGTTTGACAGATAATGTGAAAAATCTTAATTTCTTCCCAAATTCCCCCCAAAAGCTGTGGAATTCCAGAATTGTGCTCCTCGATAAACCAGTCTTCAAAATCCTCTAGTAAATATGCAGGATGGGCAGCTACCTCACACTACAAGAGTTGTTCCCAACTTTCTTCTCAAGACATTTAATGGTTGGCTGATTTTGCACATATGGCCTGAGGTCTGTTATTATGGAATTTCACAGTCACCTTACATCCTAGAATGAGTGACTCTCCTGAGTTCTGCTGAATTTTGCAGCCTGCACAAAAACTAATTTTTTTTAAAAAGCTCTAAAGAAAGTGTACAAAGGTGGTTTAACCTATGTACACTTTCTTTAGGGCTTTTTAAAAAATGTAGTTTTTATGCAAGCTGCAAAATTCAGCAGAACTCAGGGAAGAATCATTCAATTGTGCAACACTGTTGTAGAGTACGTAATTAATAATCTAGTGACTCAGCTAAAAGCAGTATGAACACACCGTAGTGATCAATTGAACAAGTGATCATCTATGCCTCATTAATTTAAAAAAAAACCATGGGTTTGAGAATGGTGTTAATTATTTTGATTTAATGAAATTATATTAAATAGATGTACAGGAAATTCCATTAAGTGGCCAACCATGTACTACATCATCATCATCACCACCACCACAATCACAATTTTACTGCCGTTTTCCATGCTTGTGTGGGTTGACTGTGACTAACTGATGGCATGAGGCCCCTGTTACCATCAAGCAAATTTGAAACAAGGTTTGTAGTGGGATGCCCATCTTATCAATATCCCACTTTTTACAGTGCAGAAGCTGGGTTTATATGTAGGAATTTCAGATACGTTTCAAAGAGTTTTGTAGTGCCATTACTTTTACATTTTACTTTTATCCTCTTCACCACTGATCGGCTCGTTAGCCGCTTGGACGGTCGGTCATGTCTCTGTTACGCACTGTTGGCAAGTACTGGGCATGCACTGGCGCCTGAATATATCTGGGACCTGCTCCAATGTTGGTCAAGTCTGGTCTTGAAAGAGCTCACACTCGGTACTGTCACAAAACTTTCTGGCAGGTTTTTTGTTCCAAGAATTCACAATTCTCACTCCGAAAAAGTTCGCCCTCACAGTTTTCTGCCCTTGTGGCTTCTTCAACCTTGAGCTGTGACCCCTTGTGGAGCGGGCATCTGCCAGCTCCACGTATGGACACTCGACTGAGTGGTGCCCTTTGAGATGTTTATACACCTCAATTTGGTCACCCCTTGACCGTCTGTAGTATATAAGCGAGCAGTTGCTGTATCTCTCTGGATAACTGAGGTGCCAAAGTGCAGGCACCAGTCTGGTGGCCCTCCTGTGGACATTTTCAATCAACTGACAGTCCCTAGCATATCTCGGGGACCAGACAAGGTGAGAGTATTCCGGGCGGGGAAGCAAGTCACTTTTTAAAGATAGTTACGAGTGATGGACTGGATAGATATCTGAACGACGTTCCTATAAGTTGCTTGATTCACCTTCGTCTCACAAAGGCCCGAGAACTTCAGTTCATTGTCAACATACACATCCAGGTCCTTTTTGCATTCAGTCTCTCTATTAGTGCAGTTTCTTCATCCTGTTGGGACATTTGTTATGCATCCTTACTGTTGGTATGACCCAGGTGCATCCTCTTACACTTTGTGATATTGAATGTTAACAGCCATTTCTTCAACCACTCTTGAAACTCAAGAGATCTTTCTGCAGCTCTTCGCAGTCTGTTTCGTTCTCAATTTCCCTGAATAACTTGGCATTATCCGGAAACATTTGTATGGAGGGGTGTATAGATTCCACCATGTCATTTATGAAACAAGCAAACAACAATGGACCCAATACACTGCCCTGTGGTACCCCACTTTTCATGGGTACACATGACGATTTCGTACCATTAATCACCGCACACTGCTTGCGATCAAGCAGAAAGTCTCTGATCCATGTTAGGACACTTCGCCGAATCTCGTACCCTTCCAGTTTAATAATCAGCCTTTCATGGGGGTACGCTGTCGAAAGCCTTGGCAAAATCATAGTACAGTATATATTGTCAATATTGCCACCCTATTCCAGAATTTGGGTCCAAACATCCAGTACCTTAAGTAATTGTGTTAAGCAGGAGCGTCCCGGCATAAAACTGTGTTGGCTGTCCTTTAAAAGGTTGTTTCATAGTAGATGTTCCATTATGGAATCACTTATAATGCCATTTTCCAATCACTGGGGACCTTTTGCTCATCTAGGCATTTACAGAACAGGATCTTCAGGGGCTCAGCAAGCTCGTTGACAACTCTTAGTACTCTGGGATGCACCATGTCAGGGCCGGGATTCTTATGAACCTTTAGCTTTGACATTTTACTTCTGAGAACACAATGCGGGTCGGCACTGTATCAAACCATCTGCCCTCAAATGCAGGAAGATTGTTCGCATCTTCTCTTGTGAACACCGAGGAAAAGAATTTGTTCAACGCCTCCGCCTTGACCTGGTCAGAATCTGCGTAACTACAGTACCATCTTTAAGCCTCAGGTCCGATACACTTTCTCACATTTTTAATTTCGACTTTGAGTAGCAGTAAAGTGCCTTTGGGTTTGACTTTATGTTGCTCACATTCCGCCTCTGGAACTTTTTTTCAGCTGTTCTACACTCTGACTTTGTTTGGTTCCTAGATCGGGCATACATCCTCCTGTCCTGCCATTTTTCTGTACTGTATCTTTATACTGTACAGGCATTCCTTGATTTATGAAAGAGTTCTGTTCCTGAAACCCTTTCGTAAATCAGATCATATTTTCCCGTAGACTTCCATTATAAAAGCTGAGGTACATTCATATAATTGTCTCCCTTCAAAAATGTAATAAAATAATATTACAAAGCATGTTTTTAATGGAATTATTTGGTGTATATAATGAGTATAAGCTAATAATAAACATACGTACATGCAGTGAAGCACCTTGAAGTAACTGATTATGATGCAGGATAAGACTGTGAGGCCCAACCAGGACATAAGGTTTTAATTTCATATTGACAAACCAAGAGTAAGTCTACTGCACTGTACATACACTTCATATGTATTGAGGTGCTTCACTTTCACTGGATTTAATATTTGATTAAATTTTATCTGAGGAAAAAGGACTAAACTTGCTGTATCCCGTTAGCATTTTAATCATTCCATCGGTTTTAGATCAAACTCTGGGATACTAAACACATCAGTACAGTATTCCCTTTGTAAAACTATCTTGAGTCAGTGCCTTGCGACTGCTTCATATAGTGATCCTGTGAGCCATGATAACTAAAACTACATGCCTTTTATTTTTAGTTTAACATTTCATAATACGTAAAGTACAGTACAGTACTGTATGTTGCTTTTAGTTTAATTGTCTTTATAAACTGATCAGATCTGATTTGGGAATCCCTGAGATGCTTGTGTCAGCACCTCAGCATCTTCCAATGCTGTCAAAAAAATAAAATAAAAATAAATAAAATAAATAAAAGTATAAGACAGTGAGAAAAAATGTAACTTCAGATATTTCACATGCAAATCAAAACGTGGGACACCCCCATACATAACTTCAGATTTTTGTAAATCAGGGGCTGCCTGTATTTGTAAAATTAATTGAAGTAGACAGCTTGTATGTACAGATATTAAACTGATCGTAGACTTGTAGATAAATTACATGTGGACGTTTTACATAGCTCTCTGGGTCAGTTTGTGAATAGCCAGCTTAAAGTAGAATGGATTGTTTATCAAGGTAATTGAAGAGTTTGCAAGTAGTTACAGTACTTTAAAATTTTGTGATATGATAATTAGTGTAATGTAAATATGCCAATGGTCTACCATGCTTTTGTATCTCCTTCCTCTTACCAATAATAATACCAGCATTATAAGATTGACTTTTCACATTAATGTTTTCTTCCTGTTGAATTTCTTTTTGGTTTTGTAATAAACTGAGTGCGAGTGTGGTGAAGCTTTATCACAAATTTATTACATTAATACGTGACATACATTGTGAAATACAATAAAGCTGATAATTTACATGATATATATAACTAATTTGAATTTTACAGTATGTGTTCAATGTTTTACTCTCTCTATTGTTCTGGATGGATTTCAAGTCATTCACTTGAATCCCAGTTCACTGTGAAAATGTTCTGATGAAGTTTATTTGTTTACAGAGGATCCACCACGCCCACCACCACAGGGAAGCTCGAATCCCTTTGAGACGATTCTCAAGTCCGAAGCTTAAGAGTTAATTAAAGGCCTTCAGCTTTTTGGGAATTTGAATAGAAAAGAAATGTTTGACACTGTCTTGTTGCGATCTGATAACTTGTATATCCAAACTCACTATATCCAAATATGTTAGTTGATAGTGCAAATTATTTGGAGTATCCCGCGCCCTACTAGTATTGTTTTCCTCGTAAGCTATAGTGAAAAGTTCGTAACAACAGTGTAATCTGACATGGATGCTGGTGCTCCAGTTGCCAGTAATTAAAAAAATGTTTCTGTCATCATGGCATATTACCATCATATGTTATAGCTTAATATCTCTTATATTCCTTGTTTGAAAAATCTTACCTCACATGTGCATAATTTTATTTAAGACTAAGGCTTTTCTCTTAAATTATATTAATGTTCACAAGGTTTTATCTAAATGTTGAGAAATTTCAAGTTGGAAAAGTTTGGGGGAAGTTAGAACAGTCTGAATTACATCAGTAAGAAACTTGTATCAGTTTTTTTATTTTATAAACTCGAGTAATACAGTGTACAGTGTCCAAATAGATCCTGTTTCGGCCAAATAGGTCCGGTTTGGGCAAAATAGGTCCGGTTAAGTCAAAATAGGTCTGCTGGGGCCAAATTGGTCCGAAGTAGATTATCATAGAAAACGGGTAATTTGCATCACAGAAAATGTGAAATATTTCTAATTTCTGGGAAAGTTGGTTATCTACTTATCATAGAAAACGGGAAATTTGTATCATAGAAAATGGGAAATATCTACTTTCCGGGAAAGTTGGTTATCTACTTTCCCGAAAAGTAGATAATCTACTTTTCGGGAAAGTAGATTTTTTACTCTTTTTGGAAGTAGATTATCGATTTTTGGGAAATATTAACATATTTTCCAAAGTAGATTATCATAGAAAACGGGAAATTTGCATCACAGAAAATGTGAAATATTTCTGCTTTCTGGGAAAGTTGGTTATCTACTTATCATAGAAAACGGGAAATTTGTATCATAGAAAATGGGAAATATCTACTTTCCGGGAAAGTTGGTTATCTACTTTCCCGAAAAGTAGATTATCTACTTTTCGGGAAAGTAGATTTTGGACTTTTCGTGGAAGTAGATTATCGACTTTTGGGAAATATTAATATATTTTCCAAAGTAGATTATCATAGAAAATGGGAAATTTGTATTACAGAAAATGTGAAATATTTCTACTATCTGTGAAAGTTGGTTATCTACTTATCATAGAAAACGGGAAATTTGTATCATAGAAAATGGGAAATATCTACTTTCCGGGAAAGTTGGTTATCTACTTTCCCGAAAAGTAGATAATCTACTTTTCGGGAAAGTAGATAACCAACTTTCCCGGAAAGTAGATATTTCCCATTTTCTATGATACAAATTTCCCGTTTTCTATGATAAGTAGATAACCAACTTTCACAGATAGTAGAAATATTTCACATTTTCTGTAATACAAATTTCCCATTTTCTATGATAATCTACTTTGGAAAATATGTTAATATTTCCCAAAAGTTGATAATCTACTACCACGAAAAGTCGATAATCTACTTTCCCGAAAAGTAGATAATCTACTATTCGGGAAAGTAGATAACCAACTTTCCCGGAAAGTAGATATTTCCCATTTTCTATGATACAAATTTCCCGTTTTCTATGATAAGTAGATAACCAACTTTCCCAGAAAATAGAAATATTTCACATTTTCTGTTATGCAAATTTCATGTTTTCTTTGATAATCTACTTTGGAAAATGTTAATATTTCCCCAAAAAAGTCGAAAATCTACTTTCCCGAAAAGTAGATAATCTACTTTTTGGGAAAGTAGATAACCAACTTTCCCGGAAAGTAGATTTTTCCCATTTTCTATGATACAAATTTCCCGTTTTCTATGATAAGTAGACAACCAACTTTCCCAGAAAGTAGAAATATTTTACATTTTCTGTAATACAAATTTCCCGTTTTCTATGATAATCTACTTTGGAAAATATGTTAATATTTCCCAAAAGTTGATAATCTACTTCCACAGAAAATGTGAAATATTTCTACTTTCTGGGAAAGTTGGTTATGTACTTGTTATAGAAAACGGGAAATTTGTATCATAGAAAATGGGAAATATCTTCTTTCTGGGAAAGTTGGTTATCTATTTATCATAGAAAACAGAAAATTTGTATCATAGTGTAAGGGCGGGGGCACGCTGCCACCACTGAACCACCGAGGGCACCCTCATATTCTTACTTCTCTGTCTTATTTCCTTCAATTGTTCTGTCTACATATTTCAGTTCATGGTTACTACATAACCTCAGTTCTTTTGGTAGCATGATGAGGGAAGGCACATGGGTACTGTAATTCTGGTATCAGGGTCACTTGGACAGAATAAAGGTAATACTGATGTGAAAGAAACACCCCAAATATACTCTAAGAAATGGTTTATTAATATGAAATCTAAGTAGGGAAAAAGATGTCATTAACATACAACTACAAGGCTCAACCCTTGGCTTAACAACTGCAATTCACTTAGATACTGTACTCTTACTACTTCTTATAACACTGCTGGTGGTACCTTACATTAACAGTTATCTGGATCAACTCCTTGGCTTTTCTTAACTGCCACTCCAATCAGATACTTTTACTTCTTTCAACATTACTGATGGTACATGACATTACATACAGTTATAAGACAAACTTACATCTGATACCTTAGACTGTTGTTAATGCATACGAGATGCACTCACAACACGTTAATACTGATACCAACAAATTACATGGGATAATTATATTCCAGATAATTATCCCCAATCAAATACAACAAACACTGTGGACCATATAACTGTACGGCGTGTCCCAGGGTAGGACACTGGCGTCTCACAACTGACGACCACTGTTATGATCGGTGGTAGTTGAACACATGGTCGAGAGTCTGGGGTCTAGCCCCCCACGATGCATAGAGCAAATTAATCCTGCTGAATGGGCGACATCGTCCATTACAGCTAACTGTTAGGTATCCACGGACCCCGGGAGGCAGCCAGTGGGGTGTTCAAATAACCCACACACTGGATTTGAGACAAAGTTGGAGAAGCGTTACGGGAAGCATGGCGATGACTCAATTACACAAAATCTTTCGTCTCGCAACGTCATACGACATTTATATTACTAGTAATTCTTACACTGAGTAAATGACAATTTCACTGTTACAACATGAACACTGACACTCATAAAATTGACTAAGTCAAACTGAATGGCTATATCAGCAGGGAACACACGCTTACATACCCGAGACAAAGTTGGAGAAGCGTTACGGGAGGCTGTTCCTCCTTCCTCACATGGGGTTTTATACCCGTGAGTTGCCAGAGGTGGCTACTCACGCATTGACAAAAATTACATACAAACCAACTGTTACACTTTCAAAGATGACCCTCAGTTGACACGGGTCTGGCGAATTACTTAAGTTGATTTACATAAACTAATTCAAGATTGAGCTTGCCAGGAGAAAGTGGAATATACACATTGACAACGGTGTTCACAAGGCGGGACTTACGGAGGGAGCCTTGGTGTAAAACGTTGAGAGGGAAAAACGCTTTTCTTCCTAGGGATGTTTTGCGGATGCGGAATATAAGAATCAACAGGTTTAAAACAGACCTGCAGTCAATGTGACCATGACAAAGCTCCCCCTTTCCCCAAGATTCTTATTATGCGGTAATGTTCGCTAAACATGTACAGTAGCTACACAGATTCTTTAAATAACTGTTACCTTTGGTCGTGGTTTCACACTACATACACTCATAACAACACATGAGGACTATTACAGGCATCTGGCACAAAAAGATATACAAAACAAGAACACAATGGTTACATACATGGAATAAACGGTAGTTTAAAAAAAACCAATCTATTATCACTGACAACATTGAATAGAGCAAAAAAATACAGGTAAATACACATACATAGGAGAATAATGTACTGATGTAGGAAAAGCATAAAAATGGGGTTACATACATAAAAAAAATTTTTTCACACAATACACACTGGAGATACAGCTTCTCAAATCAAGGAAATTTTCATTGAGGAGATCGATCAAATGCTTACTCGACACCCCTGAAATTTAACTTAGACTTCTCAAGCTAGGACATAGATGAACGGACCCTATCGAGCCGAAGGAATGATTTGTTTGACTTTATACCAAAAAGTGATGTCCTACTCGCGAGAGGCAGCAACATTCGAGCGATCCCTAACGAGCGGAGATATTCCCAAGAATACAATGCAATACGAAACGGTCCTTATGGGAGCACAACCAAACCAAAAAACTGTCTGTACTTATGGCATTTGCCATTTAGCGGAAATCGGTGACATGCTTCATGCCCGACCCCACCTAAAAGTCACGAACACTACTCCTATACACAACAAGAAGCCTAGCTAGGACTTAACACACAAAACTTGAGAACTCACAACTGGTATCTTTACTCAAATAGTAACCGGTACCCATCAGATGATTGCATAACTGCCAATCCATCTTCCAATCTCTATGTCTTTATTGCAAATTGACAACCCCTCTCCGAAAAAAAAAAAATAAATAAAATTCACAGATACCTACATACTCACAAACCTTCCCATTGCACCACATTCCACACTCACATGGGCAAACGACATACTCACTTTCCACAACTTACTGATGCACGGCAACAACACATTTTCTCACTTTCCAGTTGTACTTCTAAATTGCAACACAAATATGCAAAACATCACTCATCACCATGCACAGCAACAACCAATGCATTCCAGTTAAAAGGTCTATAACCCTTTAAAGATATCTCGGCAATACTGATGCCAGTGTCTCACACTAGTAAGAGAGGCATTCCTTACTCTTCTTCCCTTCTACACCTCCCTGTCCATCAGGCCATTCACCTGATGAAACAACTGGTGGTGAGATATGGGTGACATTCCTGTGAATGAACACGTCTCCACCCATATACTTCTCAACTCTACACATCAACTCATCGGACACAGGTTCTGAGCTGACGGCCATGAACTGTCCCCTTGTGACGGCCATCATGCCTGGAGGTCACAACAACTCATTGTAACTACACAACACGGGCACAGTGTACACCTTCAAATACAATCGGATTACTGCCTTACTGACCTTCTAATACACACAAACTCTTGAAATACTGTTCAAAATTATTACTCACTTCCCTAATGATAATACTGGATATGTGAACTTTTACTTTAGGTCTTCACTGAACAATACACGAGAAAAACATCACTGTACTCTTTTGTCACTTTTCAAGAAACACTGTGCAAACTCAAGGCAAGGTACTTACTATTGACAATCTCTGTATGGTGCAACCCTGTATGAACTCTTCCCAAATTACACTGTACTCTAGAAAATCAACCAACTTTAAAGAGAACCATAGACATTTCCATTACTGAGAGTCATGCTCACAAAAAAAATTGATACAGTAATACTTTACGAGAAATGTCCCCTCGGAACTCAA